TTGAGGTTCAGGGTGTAGGTCCTAGGGCCCTGGGTTTGGGAAGGTGCAAGCAAGGACGAGGTTTTGGTGCTCACCAGCCAGCTGTTGGAGTACCACTTGCACTACGAGTCCACACAACCTTCGTCCCCATGCCATGGAACCAGTCGCCGAAAGTGCGTTGGTATTAGTGAAGGCTAGAGGAAGGAAACCTTCATTCTCAACAGTTTGAAAATCTTCGTCCCAAGCCCCTTGAACCTTAATTGGAGGTTCACGGTTAGGTATAAGTAGGGTCATAAGCACGATAGCAACAGTTACAACCCCCCTATATTATAGGCCCAGCATAACCCCACGTACAACTGCCCCTGATCCTCCAAGTTGGGCATCTCGGAAAGCCCCAAGCTTCAATAAGAAACTGCGGACCCCGATACCGCAGACCGTTTGGAGTTTTGAAGACCCAGAAGATACGGCTTCTAGACAAGTTCATTTAAAGGAGCCTTTAAAGGTGCCCCTTCTGTATATAGAACCCTAAACTTACAGTCAACAGCACCCGAAAGGAGACCCTATTCTCGGACTCCACTCCCTTTAGGGGAACCCTAGTAGGACCTTTAAAGGAGCCCCTTTTAGGGTTCCGGCAGTGGGCCGAGATGCTAGGAGCGGTTTCGCCGCCGCCGAAGCGGTGGGCAAGCTCCTGGAGGATGCGGAGCCCAAGGCCCGAGAGCCGACTCGAAGAGTCGTTTTGGGGTTTTAGGGAGTGTAGGGCTTAGAGTTTAGGGGACGGGGGATTTTAGGGTTTCAGGTTTAGGGCTCAAATCTTCGAGGTTTCAGAACTTCTGCCGTCGATGGTTCAAGGAAGGTGACACGAAGTGGGGTTCTACTGGCAGGCTCAAACTTCCGATGAATGGCATGGCTTTCAACTCGACCCACAGCCTTGTACCCACTGCCGTCAGAAGTTCTTGAAGTCTGGTTTTCGAGATGTTATGGCACAGTAGAACATGGCAGAACAAAACTGTGATATGATAGAATATGCCATAAATTTAGGGTGGAGAGTGCAGGGTTTGGGGATGTGAGCTTCATGTCTCGGGGTGTCTTTCGGACCAAACCCTAAACCACTTGGAGGGTCGGGGGACTTAGTAAGTAAATAGTAAGTAGACTTATAAGAACCCTAAAAGGGACCCTAATTGGGGTTATGGTTCTTATAAGTCCTCAGAATAACCAGTTACTAGGTCCCCCGACCCTCCACTCAGAAACCCCAACCCGGGACTCCTTCTTCTCCAAGAGATCGAAGCCTAGAATCTCGACCTTGTTAAAAACCTAAACCCTACTAAGCCCTAAAACCAAACCCAAATCCCAAACTATAATACAATATAGCAGGATATAATATCGTATATTAATAGTAATAATAACAATAACAATAGTGTTAGTTGAGGTAGAATACAATATCTGAAGCCATATTTGGATCCGACACCAAGAAGGCAGCGAGCCTGAAAGTGGAGGGAGGTGGCAAAGGATCAAAGGGCGCCTCGGTGTCGATTGAAGGGAGGTGTTCCGAAATTCTGCGTTTCAGGGTTTAGGGTCTAGGAGGGTTTAAGGTATAAAGGCTTGTACCGGTCGGAAAATCTGCATTTCGGGGTTGAGGGCTTGACGAAATGTGGCCGTCGAGCGCCTCAAAGCTTAGGATGTTAGGGTTGAGGTTTTGTTTAATGGGTTTGGGGTCTAGGTTTTGTAGTCGCCCGCAAGGATAGAGGATTTCGGGTTCTGGGTGTCAAGATTTAACAAGAAATAGAAAGCCCAAAAACCGAGACACACCCGTTTGCACCCTAAACCCTCAACCGGCCTGGGACGCGTTCTGGTTTTGGGTTCATGATGGTTTTGGTGGCATGGTCCTGGCCTCCCGCAGAAGACTTGAAGCCTCCGGGCTGGAGTGTGACGGAGACACGCCTATTCAAGTGTGCATTCAACAGCACCCCAAACCAGAATACAACCCACTGGTATAGAAAAAGCCATGGACAACCCTGGAAACCGCATAACTCGTATGAGCTTGCTGTCTGGCCTTATGTACCCCCCATCTCTCCACAACCCCACCCGGCGAGATTGGAAGAGCCACACCCGCCAATCCTAGGCCAGGGAAAGAAGGGAAACAAGGCGCCAGCTGCTGGTGTGACCGACAGTTTGGTGGTTCCAGCTAGCCGTCGTACCTGTACTGGTAATTGTCGTAGTAAGATGCTGTGGCAGATATACTCGTACTGCAATGATGTTGAGTTTTCTTCGATTGCTGTGTCTCCTATCCGCGATGTTGTGACAACATCGTCGTCGTAGTTGTAGAAGTAGTAGTGGTGATGATGGTTCTGGTAGCAGTGAGGGAGGGAGGGAGGGAGCAGCAGCAGCAGCAGCAGTAGCACGTAAGCATATCGGTCTTGTTTGGGGCTTGCCGTTTTGATGAGACTTGCCTGCCACAGGGGAAGGGCAGCTCGAATGACTGGCAGCAAGCCGACGACTGGTTCGACAAGGGCTACCACAAAGGGATCTCTGGCAAGCATAAAGCGGCAGTGCACATTCTAGTGCTTGCCTGTAGTGTCGGAGCACTTGCATCTACATGTCTTGAATCACGCGCAACAGCCCTGGCATGTAACCGTCCTGGTCCAGGCCTGTGAATGTCTACTCTCCTAACCATGGTTCCAGACGCGATTTCATTACATTACTGTCAAACCAAAAGCTTTGGCTGTCAAGCCCACACAGCTTTGGTGTGGAATACAAGCCGTTGGGTTTGAAGCACAAGCCCTAAAAGCAATCCCTGCTTGCTCAGGAAAGGCAAAGGAAAAAGAAAAGGTGGTGGCTACTGGGAGCCCTACCGCTAGCTCTCGGAGTTTTCACTGTGAAGGGCTTTTGGCCCACTCCGCAGCCACACCCCCAAGAGAGTCCCAAAGCTCACGAGCGTGCCACTGCACGAAACAAGTCAGTTACCAACATAGTGAACCATTATTCCAGACATTACAGGCTGTTGCACTAAAAAAGGCCTAAACCCTAAAACCCTAAACCCTAAACCGAACCTTGAAAAGTCGGACGTGCGAAGCACATCCTGTAAAGCAAAAAGCTCCCACCTCCGAGCCTTCACTTGTGACCTGAAGACTTCAAAGATTCACCTAGTCAGCTCAGGAACCACTCTAAATCCTAAACCCTAAACCCTAAATGCCAAGCTATGTGGATCTAAATGCCTGCTCCACACAGCACAACAAAGATTTTCTGGTGGCAAAGCCCCAGCGTAAGGAACTGGAACCGCCGCACTTCTGAAAGCTTGTGGCATCACATATGGGGTGGTTTCTATCTGTGTGCGCATTTTCTCTCTTGTTATTAACTGAGAGTTTCCGAAAATTAGGGGTACTTTATTTGGGGTCCTTACAATAAGGATCCTACTACTTAGGGTACTACATTCGGGTCCCCTATTTTCGGAAACTCTCAACTGACTTCTTCAAGAAGAAAGAAACCCGAGATCAGAAGTGGGGCGAGTCGATTTTCGGGGGGCTCTTGCCTTGAAATTTTCTCTGGGCCATCGCCTGGCCACCTGACTCCTGCGATGCCCGAGCTCGGCGTCGATAAAGTCTCGGGTTCTAGAAATCCAACCCCCCGAAATCCCGAAATCCGAGACAAACTCAGCGAAACTCTCATAACACCCTACCTTAAACCTCAAGCTCGAAAGAGAAGTCTAAAACCACCGGTATATACCCTTAGTGCCTGTGCCGGAAGCCCGGCGCTTCCTGCAACCCGAGAGATTCGTGGGAGAGCCGCGCAGATTTTGGGGTATATGGGGTTTAGGGGTTTGTGGAGGGGTATATGGTATGTAGGGCTTCGAGGGTCCTTTTTTGAAACTTAGATCTAGGATCCAACGAGGAACTTGGAGGTTCTAGCAGGGATTCTATTGTTTTTGGCTTCTACATCAAGGATTCGGGGTTTTGAGCGGGGATCCTGCTATTTAGGGCTCTGTGCACGGGCCCCCTATTCTTTGAAACTTCTACGCGGCGTAGTCTTCAGGTCCTGGGAGTCAGAATGATATAGGGGCCTCAGCAACTTCAAAACTGTTTTGGGATCAGTTAAAATGGTTAGTATATAGGGGGGATACTAATTACTAATACTAGTTATTCCGACCCCATAGTGTTTAATATGTTGCATGCGCCCAGCTCCCATGTTCATCTCGCAATCGAAAGCCCTGAACCCTACACTCTCAACCCATTGTAGAAACCAAGGAAAATGTCATTTAACCCCTGCATCAGTACATGAAAGGAGTTAAACCCGGGTAGTGCAATAACAGTGATAGAGGAAGACCGACAATGGCAATCGGAAGCAGCACAAGTCCAACATCGTCGGTTTAGGGTGTCGGTCTCCAATGCCGCTAAATCCCTGAAGAAGCAGAGGAAGCACGGGCTGGAGATGAAACTTCCACAGCGTTTGTGCTACTGCCTGCCAACCCTAAACCTCTAGACCCAGAGACCTCTGAAGTGCCTCAGAGCACCTACCGTGGGTTTGGGGTTTCGGGCTTCAGGTAACACGGAAGAGGCTGAACCCGAACCCTTGTGGGACAGGTTCAAGTTCATGTATAACAACAATCATCCTAGACTTTGCTGGCTGAATTTTCCGGGATGTTCGTCTACGGCACTTTTTTATAAGCAATCACTCAGCGATTTGCCAGATATCCCTGGGCATGTATCATACGAAACCCCCTTTACAAACCACTGCGCCCAGGTTTTCATACAGCAGAAAGCCGAACCATCCCACCGAAAATGATCCTCAGTGTTACCGACCAACATCACAAAGCCTATGTTCAAATCCTGACCTATGGCTGTGCTGGGAGCTCATGTTCTCGGTTGGAGACACCCGTGTGAATTTGGTTTAAGTACACATGTTTGCAAGGTTTGGAGTTGTGGACAGTGCTATAATTCGACGTCTTGGACATTGTTCAGTGCAGCGTTCTGCGTGCAGTGCTGATTGGGCTCGAGTCTTCTCCGGACGCCAGGCAACTCGATGAGGCTATGGCTTTTTTTCCCACTCTGACAGAGGAACAGCTGAAAAAGCTGTACGGGTCCTGGTTTGCAGAGAAGGGGGGCCGGCCAGATCAGGAGCCTCCACCTCTCAGCGATGAAAAGGACGAGGTCATCACCCTCCAACTTCTTCAGCCATCGGGACGATCGACTTCTTGTCGTGTCAGCCTCCGGGACCGCATCTCTGATGTCAAGATGAGGGTCAAAGATGCCCTGTCTATGAGAAGCGGTTATGTGAGGCTTATCCGTGACGGACAAGAGCTTCTGGACATAAAGAGCACGGTAAAGGAAAATGGCCTCAGCGATGGGAAGACGATTACGGTCATCTTCAATCAGTCATACACGTATGCTTCGTTCCGTGATGGGGAGAAGCCACCTTGGGAGTCAGATTGGGGTCCCAAGCCGACGTATGACCACGCTCCGAGCCCGCGACACAAGCATTGAAACCAACGACAAGGCCCGACAATGGTCGAAGGAACCAGCTCAACTTTCATGGAACGCGCAGGCCTGCGACTGAGACGCTGAGCGTTACACTACTACAGTGTTTCGCATCAAGGGCTCAATCACATGTCAGTACCCTGTTGTGCAAATGTCCACGTGCACAAAGATTGCCCGTCGTGGATGCTTGCAGGAGCCAGCCACAACTGAAAAGATTCGCGTGTGGCTTGCACTCAACGCGTTGAAGCTAAGGCCCATGTACCCCGAGAAGCATTGCAGCCGAACCTCCACACAGTGCATATCCCAAAAACGCGAAGGAAACTGGAAGCGAAGAATGAACCTGAATCCCCTGCTTCACGAACCCGTTGAAAAAATGTCGGTTTAGTCTGACTTGGAACGAAGCGACGGTTAGGAGGGCTCACAATTGAGAGCGTGGGAGTATAGGGTTACGGATTTAGGCGACACCGGCAAAAGATGCTTGTAAACCGGTGAACACAGGCTTGCAGCTGATGAGGTTTATGTGCACGCTTTGTTGCGTTGTGTTTAAGTTACTCAGCGGTGGTGGTGGCGGTGGTCGTGGTCGTCGTAGTAGTCATTAGTGCAGCAGTAGCAGTAGTAGTAGTAGTAGTAGTAGTAGTAGTAGTAGTAGTAGTAGTAGTAGCAGTAGTAGTCGTCGTCGTAGTAGTCGTAGTAGTCGTAGTAGTCGTAGTAGTAGTAGTAGTAGTAGTAGTAGTAGTAGTAGTAGTAGTAGTCGTAGTAGTAGTAGTAGCAGTAGTAGTAGTCGTCGTAGTAGTAGTAGTAGCAGTAGTAGTAGAAGTAGTAGTAGTGACGACATCAGCAATAAAACGCACCCTGAGGTAAGAACAGTCCGGCAGGTGCCCCTCCCGAGATGGCTGCAGGGCTGTTGCCCGTCGCGGCGCCAGAGGCTGCTTCGATGTTTGTTCGTGGCAAGTTCCCCAAATTTTTGGGTCTAGGGTCGGTGTATGGGTTAAGGTTGCGGATTTCCTTTAGCGCATTATCCTTGAAGGCCCCCATCCGGCGTTGCTTGCAGGAGACACCCGCAGCTGCGAACGGATTCCTTTCGGCCGGGCTTCACTCCTGTGCCCCTCGGTGTATGTAGGGATGAAGGGTCCCGCGGTCTCGAGTTTTCGATTGAAGGGCTTAGGGTTTAAGGCCCATCTTGCCTGAATCATTCGTGGGCCCTGGGCCATGGGACCTTGCACAGCAGCCTGGACCTGAAGCCCTAGATATTTCACATCGCCAAGACCACTGTAAGGCTCGATGTCTACAGGTGGCAGTTTGTCACGACATGCTGTTTTGCAACTGCTTGAATCGCACGCCGAACTGCTACAGAAGGTCCCGATCGTCACCCAACGCGTTCCCCAAACATCCAAGCTGCTTTGTGAGGGCTGCAGGTCCTCGATCAGGATCCTGAGCCCGCAAACGAATCCTAAGCCCAGACGTGCTGCTACAATTGCCAAATCCGGGGCCTTAGCCTAAACCCCGTGCCCTATCTTCATATCTCCCGTGTGACGGGATGAATTCAGCACCGAGCCTCAAGCTTTGGTGCGTTGCCGCTGGGCTCTGTTTAGGGTTTCGGACCTTACGGTTTGGTTTCAACAGCATTAGGCTTTGGATGTTTTGTTGGAGTCAACGTGTTTGGCTTCAGTGCTCCTGTTATGTGTTATGTTTTGCAATGATGTAGCAGGATGTCACATTCTTGTGTTGCATGTTTGCTTGAGTCGGCTGTCGGACTTTGCGTCGCTACAGCATGCGGCGTCCACGTTTCTATGCCCGCGTTCTTTTGTGCTCCGAAATTTCCTCAAAACCCTGAGCCACCAACCCCAATCCCTAAACCTCCGAAAATCCTAAAAGCCCAAACCCAAAAAGCCTAAACCCCAAACCCGAAACATGAACCGCAAACCCGATAAACGACCCCAGTCCCAGCGTGCCTTGCAGAAACGACGTAAACCCCCACAAGGCCTTCAAGCCCCAAAGCCCTTCTAAAGCCCTCAAGCCTCATAGAACGGATTCCTGCGGTTTTGGGATGCTGAGGCAGGGCTTCTGACAGCGCCCCGGAGCGGCGGAGGGCCTCGCACTCGGAGGGCTCTTGCGGCTTCGGGGTTTAGGCTTATAGAGGATCTTAGAGGCATAGGGCTCGAGGACTTGAGGATTAGAGGTCTTTGGATGTGGGATTGAAGGGTTGAAGGTTCTCGGGTGTAATAAGGACTCAAGAACTGAAGGCATGGTGACAGGATGTAAGTGGGTGGAGGATGCAAGTGTGAACCACTGACAGCTATCGCCACATTCTCGTCCACCAGAGAATCATTCATTCAGGGTTCAGGAGGCATCCTTTCAGGCCCACAGGGTGTCCGGAGTCGGATATTCGGTCAGATGTGCTGGTTTGCTGGCCCAACGCTTCATCGATCAGCCGAAAACTGCCATGAACCATTTTTTGTAGGTTCTTCCCATAAACCCTAATACAGAATTGAGGGACTCTACAGGACTCTGCGAAAAAGTAGGCTTCGGCAGTTCAGGAGTCAGCTTTGAGACCATGATTTCTGAACCGATTCCCAAGTCTTGGGAAGCTGGGCAATCCAAAGCTTCACTTCTGATAGCCGATGTGCAAACTTTAAGCTCTTTAGCTTCATAGATTTAGTCTATCTTTCAAAGATTGAGTGGGTGTCGGCCCGGAAATTGGTTTAATCCCTATAACCCCACACTCCTAACCCAAAAACCTTAAACCTCCAGACTACCTTGACCCCCAGAGTATGTGGAATAACAGCCTTTTATAGGTATTGGGCCATTATTTTGCCTCTTTTGGGGGGGGTTAGGTATTGAAGCTCGACAGGCGTACCCGAAACCCAGTAGGTTGGCGCTGACCCTTTCGGCGCAGCCTGCGCTGGACTCCACGCACCGAGTGCTGGGGCGAGCATCCTCAGCCATCCTGGGGGTTCTCTGGGGCTCTTCGGGTTCCTGGGCTTCGGAGTACCATACCCAAATACTTTTTTTCTTAAAGGGACAAGTATGAAACAAAAGTGTATACTTTATTTATCCCATCCTGAGGTTTCTCTGGGGCCCTTCGGGTTCAGGGATTACTAGGTAGGATTGTGGGACATTTTTTTGTTTTCCTTATTTGGGTTTGTAAGGGGCCCTATATATAAATATTTTTCCGGGTGTTTAAAGGCCAACCCAGATTAGATTAGGGGTTTGGGGTTTAGGGGTTGGGGATTTTAGGGACAAGGGTTGAGGGATCAGGGCTGAGCGATTTGTGTTTCCGGTTTAGCGACTCTTTTTTTCTTGGCCGTGATGCGGTTTCAGATATCAGCGGATGCTGGTTGGGATGAGGGATTTCTGCAAAAATGTGGAGCATACTGTATGCGTCGACATGATTCGATTGGGGGTGTATGAGGCTTTTCGCGGCTTTCTACTGATGATTTCTGCCTGCAAGATTCAGGGGTTCAGGCTTCACGGTTTGATGCTGCTGGCGATCCATCACTGCACAGAGCGACAAAATCTGGAGAGTACTTGTCGTTTGTAGGAACAGCGGCTACTGAATGGCTGCAGGGCACACGAAATGCAGGGATTCATGGCCGGTCCAAGCGTACGTACAGTGTGTCAGCAGCCTGACTAGAGCCGATGAGATTTGCAGGATATGGGAGTTTCCGAAAATTGGGGGTGTACCTTGTTTTTAGGGCCCTTATAATAAGGATCCTACTTTTTAGGGTACTATATTAGGATCCCCTGTTTTCGGAAGCTCCCATACGGGTGTTGCTTTGCGGTTGGGGTGTGAGACAGGGAACCTGAACATTCCCTAAACCTAAGCCCTATGCCCAAATTTCAACTACATCGTTGATTTCACCCATCTCTCTAAACCCTCAAGAAGCCCAATGTTTTGGGGCCGCTAGGGTAGCGTAGGGTAGGGTGGGGTCAGGTAGGGTAGGGAAGGGTGGGGTAGGGTGGGGTGGGTAGGGTAGGGTAGGGTAAGGGATGGGTACCTCGAGGTAAAGAGGAGGGCCTTTGGATGTTTTGTAGGTTCCGCGTTTATGAGTGTAAGGGTGGCTTGAGCTTATCGCTTGGGTACCTAGGTGTTCGAGACTTTCGAAACCCTAAACCCCAAACCCCCTAAACCCGGATCTCGCAGACGGAAAAGGGACGTTTCAAAAAAGAACAAAACCATAAACCCTAAACCCCGGCTTGCACCTTAGGCGGAAAAGGGAGCTCAAAACAATAAAATAAAATAAACTCCAAAGCCCCAAAACTAGAATGTAGGCTCAGGGCAGCAGTTTCGACTCGTTGCTCCGAGGCCTGTGCTTGCGGGACGTCGCTGCTTCCGACGGCTGGAGGCGATGGCGCCGCTGTCCCTTGAGGCCGTCCTGGGATCGAGGGCTGTAGCAGTTCTGGAAGTTTGGGACGTAGAAGTTTGAAGCCCTGCAAACGTGGGAGTTAGAGAGAGCGGATCGAACCTTGAAGCCCCACACCGTAAAGCCCAAGATGGCACCTCATACTCATCAGAGGCCCACCCCCGCGTGCCCGTCTTCTTGCAGCTGCCGAAGACGGAGGCCGTTTGGGCGTTTAGGGTTTGGGGTTTGGGGTTTGGAGGCCTGACTTGCTGTGGGTTGTAGGGTGTATAGGGGCCTGGGTGTAGCGTCTCAGCTTTGGGGGAAGTTGCGGTTGAGGCGTTGGGGATTTGGGGCTGAGAATGTCGCTTTTGGGAGCTGAATCTGCTTCAGCAGGAGTAGACCACGATTCATGGGGCGCACTAAGTAGGTTCCCAGAATACTGGTAGTAACGAACGCAAGGAGTCCCAGTTCAGATAGCTATGCTGAGCAAAGTTGAATGGTTTCGAATCGGCTTGAGTTTTTAGGGGAATGTTGTTCAAGATCATCGGCAAGTCGTTACCGAAAATGCTAGTGAGCGCTCGCAAAGGGCATTGAACTGAAAAGTCTGAAAGCCCAGCATGTTCATATATTACAAGCACTTCACAACTAGCCCTAAATCCCCCCCCCAAAAAAAAGGTTCCCCTTTTAAAGGAGCCCTCAAAGGAAGAGAGATTAGAGCTTTGTTGAAAATTCGCAGGAGGAGATTCCGTCAGGACCTCCGGCGCCGCTGCGCCCGGGCCCCTAAGATCCACCTGCAAAGTCAGGGCTTAGGTCAAGATTTAGGTTTTGGGTTTAGGGGTTTAGGGTTTTAGGGTTTAGAGGGTCTTGTACCATTCACGGTTTGGCGCTTAGAGAGTAGAGACTGAAGGTCTAGGTTTTGAGGGTTGAGTGGATATGGGAGTTTACGAAAATAAGGGTACCTTACTTTGGGATCCTTATAATAGGGATCCTACTAATTAGGGTACTATATTAGGGTCCCCGATTTTCGAAAACTCCCATATGGCTTCGGGTTCAGGGTGTTGGTCCCAGCTTTTCCAGTGTTGAGGATTCGGGCTTTGCTGCGGGCCCATCCTAGTAAGTTAACTTAGTTAACAGTTGTGCTCAATGTCCTGCAACCCAAACTTATGCCCTAAAGCCCGGAGCTCAAGCTCAGGACGCTGAATCGCTTGACCAAAAGAAACGAAAGCCCTCTTGTTCAAGATACCTTGTGGAAAAACCTTGAATCCCAAGCCAACCGCCACCTAATCTGCCCACCAAGCCTCCTCAGAGAGCCCAATACCCCTTAATGAAGGAATGTACCTTAAATTATAACGGGATTCATATTATGAAATAAGCTTTCTTCCTGAATTCAGGGGTATTGGGCTCTCTGGGTCCTCGGAGCCGCCGGAGCCTCACGGCAGCCTCGAAGGATTAGAGCCCTTCCCTGAATCCGCTGCGGAGCCCTTTGCGGAGGTCTTGGAGGGGTCTAAGCGCTGTAAGGGTTCCGTTCTAGGGGTCCTTTAAAGGTTCCTTCAAGGGATCCTTTAAGGGTAAGGCTTTCCGGGTTATTATTCGTTTTTGAGTTAGTCACGTTGGAGGGGCTAGCCTTGTCTACTCATGTAACAGGTTGGATTTGTTCAAGGCTCTGGGGTTCTGGATGTGTTGTTCGGTGATGCGGGAGATTTCATCCATGTTCCAGCCCAGGAAGATTCGTCGTGTTCGTCTGAATTAGGACCCCATGCCTTACATCCACTCCTTTGGGTCAGTCGCGGTGTCGAACACTCGTGAAGCCATGATCATAGGATCCGTGCTCTTACACGCAAACAGTGCCATAGGTCTTTTTGAGAATAGGGGACCCTATATAGTAGGATCCTATAAGGAATAAGGACCCCAAAACAAGGTACCCCTAATTTTCGGGAAACCGCCGCAACCGCTCACGGAGGATCCAGAGAAGGAGGGCGCCGCCTTGTCGCCGGAAGTTGCCCGGCCTTGCTTACGGAAGGTTAAAGTTTCATGGCTTTCGCTGCTAAAGAAAAGGGCCTCAATAATTCCCAACACTATTTTGCGGGCTCCTTGTCATGATTATATAACCGGCCTTAAACCCTATTCCAGTTAGTAAGGCCCCCCATATTAGGTGCGTTGAGCGTGTAAAGGTTTGGGTGGTGGAGGAGGTCTACGGCTGGGGGTTGAGGATTTGGGTTCCAGGGTTCCGGGGAGTATAGGGGGTGTTGTTGACCGATATGTGTGCGTGTATATATATATATATATATATGTACATATACATATGTACATATATATATATGTATACACACACTAGTTTATCCACTCCATAGCACCACACCTGTTCATAGCTGAACCCAGAGTCACCACAACCCACAAAGCCAAGAGCTCAACAACACAATGCGGGTGTTCAGTCCCAGGCTGTAGGCAAGTCATCATGCGGTGCTGAGCCGACACAGTTTGAACCTTAATCAGTAAACCCTGAGATTGATCCAGAGTTGCATACAATCTGCTTAAGGCTCTACACAGCGTTGGGGTTGTTGGGGTTAGGGTCGAGGGTATTCCCTAAACGCTTAGCCCTGGACCCTAGTTGTGACAAAGCTAGGTAAGCCGAGCGCCCAGGAGATCATCGACTTGGCAGATGCTGAGCTCAACGGCCGAGATGTAGAGGCCTTCCAGTTTTGAGGTTGTTTAGGGTTTAAGGTTTAGGGTTAAGGGGCCCCGTTTCAAGCCTCAAGCTGCAAGCCTGAAGAAGAGGAAGAAGAAAAGAGCAAGTTGAGCGTCAAAGCAAGAAGATACAGGTCGCTGGTCACATGTTTTTGCTGCAGTTTTGTAAGCTTGGAGTCGGGTGTCTATGCTTGGACTCAGGAGGGTTTCTAGGACCTGTTCCATGAACTCACTGATGCATAGAGAAGAGCAGGTTGTATGGGATGCGGATTGGATAGTATGTTGGGTGTGATGGTTTCACGGAAGTTCCTCAAGTGTTCGGGGGACCCTGGTTTAGCTACCATGAACCGCACCCAACCCCCAAGTGAGTGTTGTTTCCGAAGTGGTATGGTATGGTATGGTTTACTCGGCTTCGATGTGGAGATCGTCGCCAAAGCAAAACAGGCCCGAGCAAGGAGAGACCTCACATTCCCGGTTGATGTTATGATGAGCAGACGTGCTGTAATTTGATTCCCCTAGGCGGCTCGATCTATAAAGCCCCTCTTCCCCAGCCCGAACCCTCGACCCTAAACCCCTGAGACCATTCCTCCACATGGCCAGGTTGCCGAACTCAAGCTGGCCACGTTCAGTTCGAGCCTTTCGCAGAGGGCTTCAAGGATAAGTTCAGTTGACACCGGGCGCCGGCGGACAAACGTCACCTCAACCTTCAAAAGAAGAGGCCCTGTGTAAGAAACCTGAAGCATGCTCTTGTGCAAGCATAATATAGGGCCTTAATAATTACCTATACTGTTTTGGGGATTCCTTAGTCTAAATATAGTATAATGGGCCCCAAAACCTTGTTCTGATTCTTAAGGCCCCCATACTAAATCCTTATACTTATAATAGCCCTTGCAGTAGCCCTGATAGACTTAAAAGAACCCTGTTCTAGTTGTTCAGGCCCCTGCATTGTTCTAGTGCGAACCTCTGCACACATCCTACCGGCCTCGACTGGCCAAGCGAAGAACATCCCCCAAACCCCTACACCCTGAACCCCTAAACCCCTACACCCTAAACCCCTAAAGCCAAAACCCCTACCCCACTTCTCTGACAACGACTTTGACTACCTCGACAATGCGACCCTGCTTGGGAATGGTGAGATCGTCCTCGAGGATTTCTTTCACTTCAGCCGTGAAGGGTGAGCTCTGAGTTGGCTTGCCTTAAGGAGTGCATATCCCGTATGGAGATGGGCTTTCGTGCGAGCGAAAGGCCATAGCACCTTGAAACCAAAAACCCTAAACCCCTAAACCCCTAAACCTTAAACCCCTAAACCCAAAAGCCCTAAAACCCTAAACCCTAAGCCCCAACTCCCGGGAAACCCTAAACCCAAAACCCCAACCTCGAAATCCCAAAGCCGACAGTTCTTGGACGAAGGCCGCGAGGACCCAGGCTCTTTGAGTTTGTATCTCGGGTCTCTCTCTAAATTCGGGTCCCTTTTGCTTATAAGGGCGTCGTACTATTAGGGTCCCCTTTGAAGGTTTAGGGTTTTAAGGTTTAGGGTCTCTTATGCTTAAGGGTGTCGTACTATTTTGGGTCTTTCTCTAAATTCGGGTCCGCTTTGGGGGGTTTAGGGTTTAGGACTTTAGGGTCCTTGTTTAGAAGGGTGCCGTACAATTTTGGGGACCTAGCAAAGAACCCCTAAGAAGTCGTACGGTTTAGTGCTTTGGGGCGAGCGCGACTTCCCGGAAAAGTCTTACATAAACTCTCGGAGCTCGGCTCTGAGATTCAGATCCAACCCCCAAGGCCCTCCGGTTTAGGGGTTTAGGGCCCTGATGCAAAAAAAAAAAAAGTTTAGGACCAAAAAGGCACCCAAAACTCCGCTGTGCGTCGGAGAGCAGTCATAGCTCGTATGCTCAACGAAAAGTCTCAACTCTGATTGCAATCGTGCACGACCATGAGCATCAATGCAATGCAGCCCCCCAAGTCCGAAACTCTAAACCCCGAAGGCCTATTGCCATGTTCGTTGTTGTTGTTTTTTCTGTTGGTTATTGTTGCTACTGTTATTGTTGGTATTACATTACTAGCAGTGTAAGGATTATCATACATCTGTTGCTTTCCCTAATCCCGAAAGCGCATGATATCAAGGTCGGGAGCGGCAAGAGGGAGTCGACAAAGTGGAGCAGGCAAAGCGGTTAGAAACCTTTAGGGTTGAGGGTTTTACCCTTGAGCCTGAAACCCTAACCCGCGTTATGCCCCCCTGCTGGGACAGTCTAGAAGAAGGCTCCTATGAATGGCCGTGTATACTTGGTGATCTATGTTATGGACTATGGACACAGTTCAACTGTTACTTAGCGGTCGCAGTATCCACACCTAACCCCAAGGCCTATGGCCTTCTGTGACAGCAGGGCTTAGTAGAAAGGGGGGGCTTCCAAACAAAAGGAACTAGTGGGGTGTCTGAGGTAACTGGCAATGATTTCGCCGGCTTCTGCTTTGATAATTTGATCATTAGAATAGGGTCTTGGGTATATTATAATAGAACTAGAGTAGGAGCCGTCAGGAATAGTCTTGCAATTATTCAGACCTCTACGTTCGGCTTCTAAGCGGATCTCGACTTCGGTAGTCGCACCATGTGGAGGATCCCCCGAGAACAAAGCCCCGCACCCTACTCCGAAGCATGCTTTGGAAAAGAAGCAGGGGTTGCGAGGCTCGCAAAGCTAATGGTAGATTTGAACATCCCGCAGGACCCCTTGCCGAGCAGTTTTTGACACCTCACACACCCTTACCAAGAACTTGGTTTTGGATCTCAACATCCTCCCCAAACTTGAAAGACTTGATGTCAAAGTCCTCCGAAGTTATCTAACACATCCAATATCTAAAGTGCAAGTACTGTAGGTCAAGCAAACTACAGCCTGAAACTGAACAAAATTTGACAACAATTATTTTGGTTACAATGAAACTTGCGATCCCTTATTCTACTAGAGTTATAACAAGGAACCCATTAAACAGCATTGGAAATTACCTATACTAGTTTGGGGGTTCTGCTCGCAAGGCTCTAGACTCGATGCTCCGAAGGGTGGAGAGCCTTGAGGGCTTGGACGAGACGCTGTCAGGCCGGAAAAAATGGGAGTCTCCGAAAATTAGGGATACCTCCGTAGAAAAAGGATCCTAGTATTAAGGGTACTATGCTGGATCCTACTGTTTAGGGTACTAGATTAGGTTATTTTCGGAAACTCCCAAATGTTTGCGGGCGACTTTTTGGGTTGTCATGCAGTTGAGGACATTGGGTTGTTGAGCCTTATCAAAGGGACCCTTTCAGCATCAAGAGGTTCGGTTTAGGGTGTAGGGTACCCTAAACCCTAAGCCCTAAAGGAACCCTAAACCCAGAGCTTCTAGTCTGGAGGCTTGAGGGCTTGCAGGGATGTTGCGGCTTAAGCGGTTTGGGGTGAATTGTTGACGTGGGTTCGCGTTTTGGGAGAGGCTTGACGATGGCGACCAGGGGATCAAGGGTGTTTGGTGCTTTAGGTTAGGGTCGTTGCAGGATCTGGGCCCTCAGGGCCTGACATTCTTGGGATGTAGGGCTTTGATGGTTTTTTTGGTTTGGGGTTTCGGTACAAGGCATCAGCGTGGGGTGGTCTCGGGTCTGACCGCTTGCTTAAACTATCTACACCGACATCCACACCGGTCGTCAGAGAAGGGAAGATGTACATAAAAGGAACCTTAGAACCTTTGAACCCACGGAACCCCGATGAAGCCCTAAACCCGAAACCCAAAGCGTGTCTCCAGGCCAGCGGGTGTGGGTGCAGGAGGGAAGCAATCGCTTGCTCCGCGTGCTGAAGAAGCTACACTAAGCCGCTCGGCTTCGGGAAAAATAGTGAACCTGAATTCAGAGGGGTTGATACTATTTTGAAACTATATTACAAAAGTAACAAAATGAATCTCAATTCTACAAGGGAAGCCGGGACCGGGTTTTACATAACTCACATAGATGTAAACACAAATCGAAGAATTCAGTTCCTTTTCTCAATATGTGATTTTT